TTATTATGAGACCAAATCCTATTCTCATTCTACACCAAACTAAAGAATAAGAATTAGAGGGTTTCCATAAAGTTGGATTCTATTTTTTTATGTTATGAAACAAACATAGAAATGGAAAAAAAAAAATTCCATGACAACATAAAATTGTCTTAAAAATTTTTATGGATTAGCTAGGAATCCATAAAAAATATAGGATTCCTAATCCTATTCTTGCCCACTATTGAACCAAACACCTCCTTAGAGGATGAATTTGAAATATATAGTTTGACGAGCACGTCGTAAAAATCCTTAAAATACGATCATCTCCTCCCTTTGCACTTCCTACTAGATGCTAGGAGCGTCTCTCATCCGATTTGGTTTGATATGAGAAGTGTTTGATCTCATATCGGGAAAATAAAAACAATTAGATTTCCATGCGATTAAATATAATTGAATTCGTGACTCAAATGGAGATTTAAATTTTTTTTTGAGTAAATTGGGTACAAATATTTTATTCTAGTTTGTCCATCTCAATGGGTCTTTTTTTTTTATATCCCCACAAAATTGGCTTCCAAGTTAATGGCGTGCCCGCAATCTTCCAAAGTTAAGGGGCTTTTTGCCATAATACTCAGCCATAAATTAACTAGAATTTCATTAGATAAAACCCCCACCTCCCCCCACTTCGCCGAACGCACCCCCTCTTCTCTCCTTCACCAACCAAATCAAAAACAAAAAAAAAAAAAAAAAAAAGGGGAGAGAAAAAAAATGAAGAAGCTCTACACCTCGAAAACCGCAAACAAGAGAATCCACCCATCACCCTCTCCTTCCTCCCGAGCGCCCTGACGCGCCCTGGCCTCCGCCCTCTCCCCAGACGACCAGCTGGTCCCTCTTCCTTACATCCTCGCCTCCACAGCCGTCAGCAGAGGAGGGTTCGGCCAGGACCAGGGCCAGGGCCAGGGCCAGAGCCGCGACGGCCGGGACCACCGCGCGGACTTGGGCTGCTCCCTGCTTCGGCTGCTACAAGAGCCTTCTGGGCGCCGCTGGGACTCCTCGCCCGACGCCACGTCATCCACGCGATTCCTCGACGCCTTCGAAGAAGACCAGGAGGCCTCTCGAGGTGTTCGTCGCAGAGAAGAAGGACGGCAAGGGGGCGGAAGAGCAAGAAGAAGAAGGCGGCGGAGACGAAGGCAGGAGGAGGAGAGGAGGAGGCTGGCTGCGGTTGCTCAGGAGATTGATGATGGGTGATCACGCCCTTCACGAGGACGAGAAACACCGTGAGACGGGAGAGCAGAGGGGGACGAGAGGAGCTCCGCTGAGGAGATTTTTTCGGGTGGGTTTTCGGGATTATTTAATATTAGCGGAGGGGGTGATTAATTCTAGTTCCGGAGGTTAGAGGATTTTTCTTTTTCTTTTCTTTTTTCACACCCCCCCCCCCCTCTCACTTTTTTTGCTGCTCGTCGCTTTTCCGATAGTTTTTTTGTTGTTATATTTTCGTATCAAATTATAATAGTAGAACAAGAAATGGGCGAAGAAGCAATTTTGTAAAACGTCGCCCTGAATTTTTTTTTTTTTTTCAAAGTTTTTTTTTTTTTTCAAAACCGACTGTTTTTTTTTTTATTTATCAAAACCGACCCGGTTTTGTGATTAGCAGGTTAATGACTATCCTAAATAGTCGGGGTTGCCAACCCCGACTATTTAGGAGGGGGTTAAACCCTAATTAAAGGGTGATTAGCATGTTAATCACTATCCTAAATAGTCGGGGTTGCCAACCCCGACTATTTAAGATAGTGATTAGCCTGCTAATCACAAAACCGGGTCGATTTTGATAAATAAAAAAAAAACAGTCGGTTTTGGAAAAAAAAAAAAAAAATCAGGCGGTTTTGAAAAATTGTTCAATGGGCGAAAGCTAATATATTTGTGTATTATCTCTTATTATGTTGCATTTTTTGTTTATGTTATTTGTTCCCTTTGGATTATGTTTTTTTTTTTTTTTACTTTTCTTCGTTTTCTGTTGTGTGTTTCTTGGGGGATTATGGTTTACATGATTCATGAATGCGAGCTAGTTTGGACCTTATTTATTTTCTATGTTTTTAAAGTATCTTACATGATCCTCAATGCTATGTTAATATTTAAGAACGAAGTACTACTTTCTTGAATTTTTTTTTTTTTTGGGTTCTGTAAGAGATGCCTGTTTCTGTATTTTCTCCTCTCTCTTCTGCAGCCTCTTTCTTCATGTATTGTTGGCCAAGGAGATGATGGATGTGTTTCTTAAAAAAAGATTACTGAAGGCAATTCAAACCAAATCATCAAATTAACGAGTTCTAACCATTACAATCAAATTAACGAGTTGAACTTATGTAAAGTTTAGCAAAACTGTTAAACCAAAATTTTTTTTAGATTAAATATAGAAAGAGGTTAATTTTAAAATTTTGTCCCAAGAAATAACTGTTCTTGGTTGCTACACTCCTACGAACAACTCCCTAATGGCATCTCTAACAGGTTCTTTAAAATTTTCTCCAAAATGGGAAAGCAAAAGTCATATTCTCTAACTAATTTTTACACCAACTCCAACAGCTTCCTCATTTTGAAGAATTCTTTTTTTTCTCTAAAAATTTGAAGAATGCTGCAGATTTGGGGAAGTTTTCCCATTTTTTTCTCCTCCATCCCTATTTTGGGGAATGAGATGAGGTATCTGTTGGACCAAAAACCTAACTAAATTTTTTCTAAAATAAACATCATGGTATGGTGTTTTTTAAAAAAACACTAAAAAAAAAAAACACTATGGTTACCAAACACACTCTAATAAATTTTTTCCGTGTTATTTTTGCCTCGCTCTGTCAAAGCTCTCTAGCGCAAAACGTACGAAATACAAAATTCACGAGCACTCATCAGACTCTCATCAAAACCAAAGAGATTCAATTTTTTTTTTATTAGTGATTGTGTGGTCATTAGTACCGAGGTAACTGGTTTGTAGCATCTTAGTTTTGGTATTAATTAATGACGATGATGATGGTTTATGATCGTGAACTTCTCCAAAGTTTTTTGTTGGGCTAATAAACAAAAGATAACATGCGGCAAAAAATCTCAAAGCCATGACATAATTGAAGGGACACGCGCCCGATCCACTACCGTTTCTTTATTGTTGCGTGTCCCCTGGGGGCATTGATACACCCCCCTTTGTGATTCCTAGCTTTTCGTACCTAAATTTCAATGGCATTTCAAATGAATATTATAAACTATAACCGATCTAAATATTATTAGGAAAAATTCTTCAATGACCAAAAATATGGGACCAATAGAGAGGACAAGTGAGTTGTCCCCCTCCTATTGGATAATAAATTGGTCATCATTAATGATAACCAACTCATTATCCAATAGGAGGGGAACACCTCACTTGTCCCTCCAATTGGTCCCATATTTTGGGTCCCTATAGCAAAGCTCTATTATTAGACATTCATCATTGAGAAAACGAGCAACTCGTCTAATTCCAACAAGTTGCTACTTATTATTTCAACCTTCACTCGAAAAAACATATATTTTACCTATTATCTATCTACTAAAGGGTAGAATAGTGAACCATATAAAAGTTCTTGCTGGTCTACTATGCAATTAAAATAAGAAGAATTAAAAACTAAAAGCAGGGTGCGAAAAGAGAGATTTTTGGAAAGATGTGAGCACGGTGAGCATCAAAGCACAAAGGCTGAGAAAGGATTGGTTGCATTGGAATTTTCCTAATAAAGAGAGAAATAGTCATCTTGTCATCAAACTTTACCCAGTCTGCAGACTGTTACGCCTATCTTTCTATTAATTAACTTTTTTCCCCTCTTGCCTCTTAAGCTTCTAATTTGCACGAGCAGAAACAAGAAAAATTCCTCAATGACCTAAAAATATGAGACCAATAGGAGACAAATGAGATGTCCCCTTCCTATTGCATAATGAGTTGGTCATCATTAAGAATAGACATGTCACTAATCATGTAGGATCTGCTTTTTCAGTGAATAAATCTATACTTTGAATCGCAAACGTTAGAAAACTATACATGTTAAAAACCAAAAATACGTAAACATCTATCAGAACCACAATTTTATTTTATTTCTTCACTCTTTTTTGCTTTTCTACATAGACCAGTTTAACTTTAGTTTATTGTTTTTGATCTTGCTTATAGTTCACACAAGTAGAGGTTACAAGATTTCTAATAGAAGTTTGAATCGTGAGTTTGAACCAAGGTCAAAAAATTTGTCTTTTTTTTAAGGTAGGGGGTGTGCAAGTACGAAAGCCGTGACGAAATTTTAGCTCAACGCGTTCTGACCGTGTGCAACTCAAACTAGTACAAAATTGTATGAAGGCAGCATTCTGGTCAATTGGTCTTCAGTCATCTATTTTGACTCAAGAAACTGATGTTAGCATGAAATTTCTATACTAGCTATTAAATTGAACATATTTTCTCACTCATAATAAAAAAAAGGAAAGATGGTCAACTAATAAGACTAAATCAAAGTTGCCCCTCATGAACTATTCTTATGGTAAACAAATTATTGTTAGTAAGAGAATCCTAATATCTGCTAAAATATATTTGATCACATGCAAAGCAGGTGCAATTCAAAAAGAAATGTAATGTATTACAGAAATGGTTATAAAGATTTTCTGAATGAATCATGGAATATTTGAAAACAGGCTACTGCTAATTCACAGTGAGTACTTAAATACTGTGCAGAATAAATCAATTTATCAAAAAGAGGTTAATTAACTAGGAGAACTTAAAAATAAAAACATTTTTTCACTAAATGGGAGAAAATTGTGAGCACAGGACCTAACCTACAAAGGAGAAATTAGTAGATAATGGAGTGTGCATATAAAAGACTCTGGTCATGATGTAACCTGAACATTTCACTAAGCCTTAGCACTGCTTGGATACATAGTTCTCTGGATTGCAAAAGACCCCCCAAATCACCACATATCGATCTTGTTGGAGATCTAACTGAGGTATAGAAGTAGAAAGTAGATTACATGATATATGCCAATGAAGAAAGGACATATAGAGTAATGAATTATTGCTATATAAGTCAAAAAATTGGATACATAGATAGTTTCCATCAAAAGAGGAGATAATGAATTATTCCTAGATCGTCTTTTGTACTACTCATAATGAACAAACAGACTGAAAAAAACTCAAAAAACATAACAAATTTGCAACTACATTTTGTTATAATATGATGTCGCTATACAAGAGTTAGCGTGTATGATCATCGAATTTGATACGATAAAAATTCATGTGTGCATGGGAATTGACGAACCTGTTGGAATGCAGCCTTTGAAGATACCAAGAGAACTCCTGATTCTGAGCTCTTGGTGTACAAGAACAGGGCGACCTTCATTGAGACATTCATCAAACTTCTCCAATGTTGAAACGATATAACTGGTTCTGGTCTCTTTGCTGGGTTTGCCGACCAACATTTTTTTATGAGATGGTTGAGCACAGGCGAACACGTTGTCGATAAAGGAGGCCTCATATTCTAAAGAATAACAAGAAGAAAAAAGGAGGCAAAAGCATAAATTACTTGCAATTTATCAATTCTGAGTCTCAATTTTCAGTTCCGTAACCATTATCTATGCATGAATTTGCAAAGTATACTTGTATTTTGCTTCTTAAGCTAAGTCAAAAAGGACAGAGCTCAATAATTTACTTTCAGATCAAATTTGTATCAGCAGAAATCAAACTGGGTATAATCACAACCATGAAACCCGTAAAATAGTTTGCTTACACTTATGCACTAACAAGGCGCATAACCTGCAAATGTCTTTGGCGCTGTTTATTAAAACAGAACTGAACAAACTAAAACTTTCTACATAATAACCGCGACTTGAACCTTCCTATCAATAATTAGATTGTTTCCATTTTTGACAAAGAGAATATGATGCTGATATAAGACGTGTTGATTACAATAAGCAGAGTTACTTTTCCTAGAAAAATCTTGCAAGAAATTGGAAAGTAAGTTTACACCAACACTGAAATCAAAAGAAAGGCTTGCCAAAGATGCTCCCAGTATAATATACATAATGACGCT